GTGTACCTATGATGAAAATTACAGGCCTCTCTCATCTTTTTAAGTGGGAGAACTTGCACAATTGGTGGCTGACTAAATACTTTTTCCCCCCAACTGTATGTATTCACCCCCTTTGCTATGAAGCCCCTAAATAATATCTGGTGCAACCAATTACCTTCAGAAGTCATAATTAGTTAAATAAAGTCCACCTGTGTGCAATCTAAGTTTCACATGATCTGTCACATGATCTCAGTATATATACACCTGTTCTGAAAGGCCCCAGAGTCTGCAACACCACTAAGCAAGGGGCACCACCCAGAAAGCGGCACCATGAAGACCAAGGAGCTCTCCAAACAGATCAGGGACAAAGTTGTGGAGAAGTACAGATCAGGGTTGGGTTATAAAAAAATATCAGAAACTTATAAAAAAATGGAAAGAATATGGCACCACAACAAACCTGCCAAGAGAGGGCCACCCACCAAAACTCACGGACCAGGCAAGGAGGGCATTCATCAGAGAGGCAACAAAGAGACCAAAGATAACCCTGAAGGAGCTGCAAAGCTCCACAGCGGAGATTGGAGTATTTGTCCATAGGACCACTTTAAGCCGTCCACTCCACAGAACTGGGCTTTACGGAAGAGTGGCCAGAAAAAAGCCATTGCTTAAAGAAAAAAATAAGCAAACTCGTTTGGTGTTCGCCAAAAGCCATGTGGGAGACTCCCCAAACATATGGAAGATGGTACTCTGTTCAGATTAGACAGAAATTGACCTTTTTGGCCATCAAGGAAAACGCTATGTCTGGCGCAAACCCAACACCTCTCATCACCCCCGAGAACACCATCCCCACAGTGAAGCATGGTGGTGGCAGCATCATGTTGTGGGATGTTTTTCATCGGCAGAGACTGGGAAACTGGTCAGAATGGAAGGAGTGATGGTTGGCGCTAAATACAGGGAAATTCTTGAGGGAAACCTGTTTAGTTATGCAAGCTCAAGTTTTTTTTGTTGGTCTTATTTCTTGTTTGTTTCACCCCCAAAAATATTTTGCATCTTCAAAGTGGTAGGCATGTTGTGTAAATCAAATGATACAAAGCCCCCAAAAAATCCATTTTAACTCCAGGTTGTAAGGCAACAAAATAGGAAAAATGCCAAGGGGGGTGAATATTTTCGCAAGCCAATGTACATGGGCTACATACAGTGGGGAGAACAAGTATTTGATACACTGCCGATTTTGCAGGTTTTCCTACTTACAAAGCATGTAGAGGTCTGTAATTTTGTATCATAGGTACACTTCAACTGTGAGAGACGGAATCTAAAACAAAAATCCAGAAAATCATATTGTTAGATTTTTAAGTAATTAATTAGCATTTTATTGCATGACATAAGTATTTGATACATCAGAAAAGCAGAACTTAATATTTGGTACAGAAACCTTTGTTTGCAATTACAGAGATCATACGTTTCCTGTACGTCTTGACCAGGTTTGCATACACTGCAGCAGGGATTTTGGCCCACTCCTTCATACAGACCTTCTCCAGATCCTTCAGGTTTCGGGGCTGTCGCTGGGCAATACGGACATTCAGCTCCCTCCAAAGATTTTCTATTGGGTTCAGGTCTGGAGACTGGCTAGGCCACTTCAGGACCTTGACATGCTTCTTACGGAGCCACTCCTTAGTTGCCCTGGCTGTGTGTTTCGGGTCGTTGTCATGCTGGAAGACGCAGCCACGACCCATCTTCAATGCTCTTACTGAGGGAAGGAGGTTGTTGGCCAAGATCTCGCGATACATGGCCCCATCCATCCTCCCCTCAATACAGTGCAGTCGTCCTGTCCCCTTTGCAGAAAAGCATCCCCAAAGAATGATGTTTCCACCTCCATGCTTCACGGTTGGGATGGTGTTCTTGGGGCTGTACTCATCCTTCTTCTTCCTCCAAACACGGCGATTGGAGTTTAGACCAAAAAGCTCTATTTTTGTCTCATCAGACAACATGACCTTCTCCCATTCCTCCTCTGGATTATCCAGATGGTCATTGGCAAACTTCAGACGGGCCTGGACATGCGCTGGCTTGAGCAGGGGGACCTTGCGTGCGCTGCAGGATTTTAATCCATGACGGCGTAGTGTGTTACTAATGGTTTTCTTTGAGACTGTGGTCCCAGTTCTCTTCAGGTCATTGACCAGGTCCTGCCGTGTAGTTCTGGGATGATCCCTCACCTTCCTCATGATCATTGATGCCCCACGAGGTGAGATCTTGCATGGAGCCCCAGACCGAGGGTGATTGACCGTCATCTTGAACTTCTTCCATTTTCTAATAATTGCGCCAACAGTTGTTGCCTTCTCACCAAGCTCCATGCCTATTGTCCTGTAGCCCATCCCAGCCTTGTGCAGGTCTACAATTGTATCCCTGATGTCCTTACACAGCTCTCTGGTCTTGGCCATTGTGGAGAGGTTGGAGTCTGTTTGATTGAGTGTGTGGACAGGTGTTTTTTATACAGGTAACGAGTTCAAACAGGTGCAGTTAATACAGGTAATGAGTGGAGAACAGGAGGGCTTCTTAAAGAAAAACTAACAGGTCTGTGAGAGCCGGAATTCATACTGGTTGGTAGGTGATCAAATACTTCTGTAATGCAATAAAATGCAAATGAATTACTTAAAAATCATACAATGTGATTTTCTGTATACAGTGAGGGAAAAAAGTATTTGATCCCCTGCTGATTTAGTACGTTTGCTCACTGACAAAGACATTATCAGTCTATAATTTGAATGGTAGGTTTATTTGAACAGTGAGAGACAGAATAACAAAAAAATCCAGAAAAACGCATGTAAAAAATGTTATAAATTGATTTGCATTTTAATGAGGGAAATAAGTATTTGACCCCTCTGCAAAACATGACTTAGTACTTGGTGGCAAAACCATTGTTGGCAATCACAGAGGTCAGACGTTTCTTGTAGTTGGCCACCAGGTTTGCACACATCTCAGGAGGGATTTTGTCCCAATCCTCTTTGCAGATCTTCTCCAAGTCATTAAGGTTTCGAGGCTGACGTTTGGCAACTCGAACCTTCAGCTCCCTCCACAGATTTTCTATGGGATTAAGGTCTGGAGACTGGCTAGGCTACTCCAGGACCTTACTGTGCTTCTTCTTGAGCCACTACTTTGTTGCCTTGGCCGTGTGTTTTGGGTCATTGTCATGCTGGAATATCCATCCACGACCCATTTTCAATGCCCTGGCTGAGGGAAGGAGGTTCTCACCCAAGATTTGACGGTACATGGCCCTGTCCATCGTCCCTTTGATGCGGTGAAGTTGTCCTGTCCCTTTAGCAGAAAAACATCCCCAAAGCATAATGTTTCCACCTCCATGTTTGACGGTGGAGATGGTGTTCTTGGGGTCATAGGCAGCATTCCTCCTCCTCCAAACACGGCGAGTTGAGTTGATGCCAAAGAGCTCGATTTTGGTCTCATCTGACCACAACACTTTCACCCAGTTCTCCTCTGAATCATTCAGATGTTCATTGGCAAACTTCAGACGGGCCTGTATATGTGCTTTCTTGAGCAGGGGGACCTTGCTGATTTGTTTGACAATCAGATTAAAAATGTATGCACTCACTAACTGTAAGTCGCTCTGGATAAGAGCGTCTGCTAAATGACTAAAATGTAAATGTAAATGTAAAACATAATGACTGGTTCATGGCACTTTAAAAGGTAATACATTTTTACAGTAAAATGTAATCTTTATTATAAATCCCATTATACCTTTTTTTTAGGCTTTAGACTGGCCTCTGCCTGTGGCCTCCAAATCACTAACTCCTGTGTGTAAGACTTACTGACTGCATAGGTTAGACTCTTACTGTGTGTGAGGCTGTGCTTGGCCACTTGCTGGCAGTGAGGATGTAGTGACAGGCAGAACTCTATTGATGTCAGCTCTAATAGGATGGCACTGCATTTAGAGAGGTTAACAAACATCATTAGCATCTGTCGCTAGCAGAATTATTCAGTCACTCTGAATAAAGAGCAGCTCACTGTCTTCTGGTGCTCCAGATGTTCAGGATTGGCTTTAGTACATGTACTGCACGGTACGGCTGGCTGCTAGTGCTGTTGTTGGAACTGCCCCAAGCTTCAGCTTCTATCTCTAAAGTGGCTGTGTTTGGGTGGCTGTGAACGGAGAGGCTACCTACCGAATCCTTCGCCACCTTTATGGAGTGCCTTAACTCCATCTAGTGGCCAAAATCTGAAACAGAACTTCCTCTGTAAATAGACTTTCGTGTTGGTAAGACAGGTCAACTATCGCTTTTCCCATAAACCAAATAACAATGAACTCAGCCACATACACTGTGTGCAAATCATTTAGAACACCTTCCTAATAATGAGTTGCACCCCCTTTTGCCCTCAGAACAGCCTTAATTCATCAAGGCATGGACTCTATAAGGTGTTGAAAGTGTTCCACAGGGATGCTGGCCCATGTGGACTCCAATGCTTCCCACAGTTGTCTCAAGTTGGCTAGATGTCCTTTGGGTGGTGGACCATTCTTGATACACACAGGAAACTGTGAAAAACCCAGCAGCATTGCAGTTCTTGACACAAACCAGTGCATCTGGCACCTACGACAATACCCCGTTCAAAGGCACTTAAACATTTTGTCTTGCCCATTCACCCTCTGAATGACACACATACAATATCCATGTCTCAATTGTCTCAAGGCTTAAACATCCTTCTTTTACCTGTCTCCTCCCCTTCATCTACACTGAAGTGGATTTAACAAGTGACATCAATAAGGGATCATACCTTTCACATGGATTCACCTGGTCAGTCTATGTCATGGAAAGAGCAGGTGTTCATAATGTTTTGTTCACTCAGTGTATGTCTCATAACAGACTAAACTATTCCAAACTAAAAAAACAACATCAATAAATTATGAAAACATTTGGAAAAATGTCTGACCATGGCACAGAAGAAATATCAGTCTTTGCTAAGAAATTGTAAACTGAACAGAGTGATATTTTCATTTAGATTTCATTTAATAAAAAATATTACATACAATAAAATATCCAGTGCTACCATTTCAAAGACAAAGATCTAAAAAAAATTAAGTTAATTAAAATAAGAAATTATTTTGTTATTTTCAATAAGAATGAGGTGAATTAAGATTGGCTCAATGAGTGTGTATTATGTTTGGACTGTATGGACCGTATTTTTAGCCGAGACGCTTCAAGTCCACAACTGACATCTGTGTGTAGCCCAGTCCATAAAACACCCGCTAGCCTCTACCATCTAGGCATGTGTGTAGATCTGAAGAAAAATAGGTATTAGCAGTGCAGTGAAAATTCCTTGCAGATTTTGATGAAGTTCCTAGGAGGTAAGGGCTAGAGGCTGTTTCTGGACTGTGTCCATGTGTGTATGTGTGTCAGGAGTGAGGGTGTAAGTACAGGATAGCGCCCGAATCCTCAAGTTTTTTTAAGGCTTCTGCTTCGTGGGTAAGGTCATGGTAGGAATCCTGGAACAGAACGAAAGCAGAGCCTAAACATAACATCACACTGTACTGAAAAATCTACTAGCATGGCGTATAACACTGAAGATTGTTGATATCTGTCATGGGAGTTGAGTAAACTCCCATGCACACTCACCTTCATGGATTTCATGGTGTCATATCCATAGTAGTGTATAGGATGCTTCTGGTTTTTGGACGCTGGATATCCAAACCCAGCTATGTGGACCACATCACAGTAGTTGAGTGCCACGAACACGGCTAGGATCCCTGTAGTGGGGTGTACTGGTTTCTGTAGGCGTGAGAACCAAAACCAATGAGACCTACAGTATCGTAAGACGTGTAGTATTATGTTTAAGGCACTAGGGGGCAGCAGAGACCTGTAAAAACTCATGAGTCATTGTTCTGCACTTTTAGTACATTAGTTGGCATGACTGGTATATTACAGAGCAGTGTGCCCCTTAATTACATTTACATTTACATCATTTAGTAGACTAATGTATACTTAGACAAATGGAGATGGTATTAGGCCTTTGGACTTGTCTCCAGTAAAATGTGAGGCGTGTCCCTGGTTTGTTTTCGCTATTGCTGTGTGTTAATGATTACCAATGTTCATAGGAGCAACAGAGGGGAATTGTTAAATAACATCCCCTTTTCCAAATGTTCCACTCTATTTCACTTTCCAATAGCCTTTCCATTCTGTCCTTTAGGGGACAGTGGGGTGAGTTGAGCCTTTTTTGACATTCAGCATCACTCCCATCAAGGGAAATACAGTATTCTTTCTAACAAAGATATATTTACATTTACATTTTAGTCATTTAGCAGACGCTCTTATCCAGAGCGACTTACAGTGAATACATATATTTTTTTTTATACTGGCCCCCCGTGGGAATCGAACCCACAACCCTGGCGTTGCAAACACCATGCTCTATCAACTGAGCTACATCCCTGCCGGCCATTCCCTTCCCTACCCTGGACGACGCTGGGCCAATTGTGCGCCGCCCATTAATCTCCCGGTTGCGGCCGGCTGCGACAGAGCCTGGATTCGAACCAGGATCTCTAGTGGCACAGTTAGCACTGCGATGCAGTGCCTTAGACCACTGTGCAACTCAGGAGATGGTATCTACATATATTTCAGGATGTTGTGTATCCCTGGAAATAATCAGAATTCATGTAAACATTACAGTTTTGAAAAAAAGTGGTCTCTTGGCACAACTTATACCGGGTATGGGGTAAAATGAGCCGCGGGACAGAGTAAGTTAAGCCGCCTACACATTTCTGTACTGAATGAAATACTACCACTTCCTTTCTAAAACTATTTTATTTCCAAAACACAATTCTACACAACCACAACCGCTTTTTAACACAGGCTTAAGCATATTTTAACACAGGCTTAACACCTAACAAACAGTTTGTACTGAAATTATGACCTCTTCCTAAATATTTGGTCAAATGATTAATTGTGTATGGTTTCGTAGAAACAAGGGTGACTCAACTTACCGCCTTTGGCACAACTTACACCACTCTCCCTTATCTGTTCCATGTAATCATTACCATTGGTTTATTGAACTACCCACCATTTACAAGGAAGCTTCTTGTTCAGGCACATTATTCCACCCTACTTTCTCAATTCCTTCCAATAGACCCCTACTGAGGTGCTAGGGGTCTGCAGTATAAATCAGCGAAATAAAATGAAAATAAAACAACAATACATAAAACCTTCAAAATGGCAGACCAATACTGAGTGCAGGACCCTTTCCAAGGTAAATGTCTGAGTGAGGCACTTTTTAAATGACATCAATATTGTGACACAGGAATAAAACTGTCCGTCTGCTCCTCCTATAGGTACCATGCTTTCAATCTCTTTCCCCTGGCCAAGGTGAGACAGGTCGGATTCCTGCGTGGGAAAAGGATGCATCTGTCTGTCTGTCTATCTATCTGTGAGCGTGGCCCGCAGGACTTTACAAGCATGCTGTCTGGCCTGGACAGCCATCCCCGGGCCCTAAAGAGAGAGAAACTGGACCAGACCAGCCAAGTTCTCAAACCCGTGATTCTCCTCTCTTCATCACACTGTACGGGACATTCCTCCAAACCTGGTTCCTAATGCACTTAGCATAAGTGCCTTTTTTCCTGAGCCTGGCTGGGCTAAATCTGACATTCTGTGTGCATTAGCCTCATGTGGTCGGTCACCGAGCGCTCCAACTTCTGTAGTGCTTCGCATAGTTTGGACATTGGCCCATGGAGCCTTGGTGAGAGGGGGGGGGGGGGGGGGGGGGGTGAATATTGTCACTGCTGTTCGCCAACCAGACCAGAATGGTGGGAGTCAGACCTTTGTTTTGGAAGGGGGTGGGTTGACGGTGGGGGCTGTCTCACTGGCAGGGGCATTAGTTAGCCCTCTAGCCTTCCTCATCTCAGTCAGCCTCTGTATTGTACCAGGGGGACTGCCTGCTGCTGCTGCTGCTGCTGCTGCCGCCTTCTCACAGGGCATGTGGATGACTGCCAACATGGCACCCACAGGGAGGGGTGAGAGAGGCCCGCTCAGACTCACGCTGGCAGCTGGCTGACCCAGGAAAGAGACAGGGGAGAGGAGAGAGAGGGGGGAGAGGAGAGAGAGGGGAGAGGAGAGGAGAGAGAGGGGAGAGGAGAAAGGGGCCAGGGCCGAGTGCTCGGCATGACACCCATCCAGCCAGGAGCCAGCCAGCCAGGGTTGAGCTCATCTGGCCTGTAGGGCCACGCAGATGGAGGAGGAGGGCTTTGGTCAGGCTGCCCCGTTGATCGCCTGCAGGACCCCTTCTTTCCCACTGTTCCCTCGGCACAGACACCGGCCAGTTGTGTTTGCGTTTCAGCAGTCCAAAGAGTGCACAGTCTCAGTCTCTGACACAGAGGCTTGCTGGGGGAACAAACTAAACCAAACTAAACCTGGCTTTGTTCCATCTCAAAGACAGCTCCACCATGCACTGAACAAGCCCTCTTGGCAGATGGACCTCTTGGCCAATGAAAACATAATTCCACATTAGTTATAGTTCAAATCAATGTATCATGTATTTCAAAACCCAGAATTCCTCAGCCAAACAGACAATTGTACTCCAATTTGTGAACAGAAAACAGCTCAATGGCTTACTATTCAAATGTCATCCGTCACAATATTCTATTCCGCAATCATTTTTATTGATTCCATTAGTTCTGTTGTTCCATTCTGCATATGTTCCACTGTTATTTTGTGGAATTCCCTGCAGTATCGTTTTTTTTTGCTCATCCATTTCTGGGTAATCAGTAGAGCGTTTGGAACTGACCTTCTCCTTTCCAAACTGCAGCTGGTAGAAATGTATACAGACAGCACAGAACACTGGCCCCTGTTCAACAACCAATTATTTCCTAAGGATGTACTGAGAGGCCTAGAAAACATTAAGGACTTATCTTGTAATGAGTTTGACGAAATGGCAAGAGGAGCAAAATGTACATTTGTGTAGTTATGTGGTACAAACACCACTCTTGACCTCCCAAGTCAAAAAGCCTGTTAGCTAAATCATTTACAGCTAAATTATATTCACTTTTAAGTGCTGTCGCTAATAAAATATTGCACCTTTTCGAGTACTGCAGTCTTATTCAAGTCCACTTCACATGGATTTATTTTCTTCCCATTTCCTGGTTCCCCAAGTGGCTAGGAGTAAACTGAGCTGGTCCCTTACCTGTTTGCTCTTTGGGTGAAGGGGGATTTGTAGCAGACTGCTGGCCGTCCCATACAGGAAGTGAGGGTCCAGCACCCGGATGTGACTTGTCCTGCCCAGCCAGATCTGTGGAGGGGGCTTCCAGAAACCTTTCCTCACCTGACACACACACACACACAGGGCCACACACACACACACGCAAACACACACACACACACACAGGGAGGGAAAAGGTGTGTTGATTAGTGAGTGCGTACACAGAGCCCGTGTCTACACAATTGAGGCCCTGTTTAAGTCTCATTCTCCTCAGTTTCTCAGGGCAATGAAGGAGTAACGACCCTGTTCCTAATCGTGCTAATAGCGACCATAGCAGCCTGAGCTAAACCAGAGAGTGGGGGTGTTGGGGCTGCTGAGACTACAGTTGCATTTTCAAGTAGGTTTGGCAAGGCTGCCATTGATACTGTCCATTCTGTCACTTCGCGGATGGATTGCAAGTACCAGGGAAGCAGCTAAAATTGAGGTGTGTGTGCGCACACATCCAGTACCCTCTTCTCGTCGTACAGGATCTCTTTGAGCCAGCGGAGGTCCTGCTGTTTGAAAGGCACTAGGACCATGAGGGTGTCGGGGTCGTTGTGCATGTTGGGGTTGTAGTAGGCCGACTCGGGGTAGAAGAGACGCATAGTGGTCTTGTTCCCCACATCGTCCTCATAACCTCTGACAGGGGCGTCATTCAGCCTGCACACGGACACAGAGAAAGAGAAACCTTAGCCATTCACTTCTATAAAAATAGTCATTAAACAGAGTAAAAATACCACCACACGGTTCCTGTAGTGTAAATAGCAACATTCCAACCACAAAGGGTTTTTCTTAGTGAGGCTTATTTATCCTCTTTCCCCATGACGTTCCTTGTATCCTGCACCTATGTAAATTTGTTGGATTGTGTGTATCAATTTTGAATAAAAAGCCATTAAAAGGGTTGCCAAGTAACAGTGCTACACTGGACAAAAATAGCATGTAGGTGTTGCTAAGTTAATTCTACCGTTGCCACCTTAACAGTCGCAGCTCAAGTAGCCTTGTGTGACAAGCATATCACTCACACCATGGCTGGTGAAATTTACTACAGTTCAAGTGACCTTCATACTCTGAGTGATAGCATTTTAAGTTGAGAACTGTTCTACCCTCCCTCTTATGTAACAGAATGCACTGTAGTATGTATCAAACCATGTATCAAAACATGAACAGGGGTGAAAACCCCTGTCTAGTTTCTAGTGTTTAGGATTTCATACTTTAATACAGGATTGCTCTAATTGTGTCTGGCATTTTAAGATTTCTCCAGCCTAATGCAAGCGTGGGGAACATCAGGCTTGGTAGGAGAACAGAGCACCAAATGTCAATTAACTCAATTTCCTCTGCCTGTGAGATTAGCTTCTGAGAATGGGAGAAGTAAGAGCTGAGCAGAACAGAGCAAAGCAGAACAGAGCAGAGCAGAGCAAAGCAGAACAGAACAAAGCAGAACAGAATAGAGCAGAATGTAGCAGAACGAAGCAGAACAGAGCAGAACAGAACAGAGCAAAACAGAGCAGAGCAGAACAAAGCAGAGCAGAACAAAGCAGAACAGAGCAGAGCAGAACAGAACAAAGCAGAGCAGAACAAAGCAAAACAGAACAAAGCAGAACAAAGCAGAACAGAGCAGAACAGAACAGAGCAGAGCCGAACAAAGCAGAGCAGAACAAAGCAGAGCAGAACAAAGCAGAACAGAGCAGAACAGAGCAAAACAGAACAGAGCAGAGCAGAACAAAGCAGAGCAGAACAAAACAAAGCAGAACAGAGCAAAACAGAGCAGAGCAGAACAAAGCAGAGCAGAACAAAGCATAACAGAGCAGAGCAGAACAAAACAAAGCAGAACAGAGCAGAGCAGAGCAGAACGAGCAGAACAAAGCATAACAGAACAGAGCAGAGCAGAACAGAAAAAAAGCAGAACAGAGCAGAACAGAGCAGAGCAGAACAGAGCAGATCAAAGCAGAACAGAACAGAGCAGAGCAGAATAAAGCAGAACAGAACAGAACAAAGCAGAACAGAACAAAGCAGAACAAAGCAGAGCAGAACAGAACAAAACAGAACAGAGCAGAACAGAGTGCATTGTGCCTGGATATGACCTAACCCTGGATATGACCAGGCAAAATTGCCTGGGCTGTTGGTAAGAGGCTTATAAAAACCAAAAATGCATGTGTTCATTCAAAGGCTATAAATCTGATTTGAAGAGGACGCTGGGGTGTTTTTCTGCAGGGTAGACCAAATCCCCCTTTTAAGAGACTGAGTTAACCCAACAGTTGACTGATTGCATAGAGAAAGGCATTAAAGCAAGGTCACCAGTCTGAGCTGGCCATTATGGTACAGCCCATTGACTGCATTATGCTTTCATGGGCAATACGAATTAGACTATCCCTCTTTTGAGGACAATGCATCATAGAACATATTTAGTTTTGTACTGGATTACGGGAATTGCTATGGAAAAGGGCATTGGGGGACTGGCTAAATGCTATTGCAGTTATAGAATGTACTCTGAGCCATATTTAGATATCAAATGATATGGCTCTTGACTGTACTGTCTGCAATATAATGCACTCTATATACTGATATTGATTAGGAACACCATTCATTGTGCAGGAACATCATTGGGTCAATGTGGAAATAGTCCATCATCAAACGTAGTGCATCAGATAGATCTGAGAAATAAAACAGAAGTGGTGAGTCGTAGCAACAGTTCAACAGAAGAGGAGGGAGGATGGACTTAATGAAGATTTTTGTGGTAGAAAACAGGACGGAACCATTAGGCTTTATACTTACCGGATCACCACATCGTACTCGTTGATGACGCCCCCCAAGGAGCTGTTTTTAATGGCAAACCCATTTCCTATGACTGCACACGTTCTGCAGTCTAGACTGAGGAAATAAAACAAAATAAATTAAGTTCAGTATAATTCACTGCTTCCTATTATTACAATCCATTTACTTTAGTATTGCCTATACTATCCTTTTAGAGTTCAAGACCACTTTCAGAGGGGTGGCTGTAACTGCACACTACAGTACATTTTCCAACACTGCCATTGTAATAGTGACTGGTCACACTGCTTGATTTGACATTTGGCATTCTTGCTTGACATTAAGTTAATGAAGTTAATGAAGTAAGGCAGCTTCCTTGTGGCACAGTAGTCCACCCATTAAACACACACCACTGTGACAATGAGTCATTATGTTAACACAGCATTTACACTACAATACATTTTGGAGAGTTATTTTTTTATATTGCTCTCAGACACATATCAGCCATCGGTGGTTCTTTGCAATCGTAACAATTATTGTAAGAAATAAAGTGGTTCATACGACACACCAGAGGTTAGCAGCATTGCTAATGTGGCTAAGAAACACTCATCACACTTACCTATCAATGCTGGCTGGCATTTTGTAATTGGCAATAACGGCTAAAACCTTCAGCAGCAGTAACTCTGGAAAAGAGAGAGGGATTAAAAAAGGTGTGATCACTTGGATTTACTGTAGATGCTGAGGACAGTTTGTTTTCACATAGAGAAGTCCATATTGAGAGGACCAATGACCCAGTACTGTTTCCAACTAACTAGTTGTAAACTCAACACATGTCACACATGTTTTCTGGAAAGGGAGCATAAACCTAGTGGACATTGACTCCATAATGCTTCTCAATCAAATGTATTTTATAAAGCCCTTTTTCCATCAGCAGTTATCACAAAGTGCTATACAGATACCCAGCCTAAAACCCCAAAGAGCAAGCATTACTTTATAGCAGGGGAACAGTGGTGACTTTTACAGCAGTAAACAGTATTACAGTATATTAATAATATTAATGTGATTGGAGCCAATTCCTATACAGTGGAGAAAAAAAGTATTTAGTCAGCCACCAATTGTAGGATTTTTAATGAATTTATTTGCAAATTATGGTGGAAAATAAGTATTTGGTCAATAACAAAAGTTTCTCAATACTTTGTTATATACTCTTTGTTGGCAATGACACAGGTCAAACGTTTTCTGTAAGTCTTCACAAGGTTTTCACACACTGTTGCTGGTATTTTGGCCCATTCCTCCATGCAGATCTCCTCTAGAGCAGTGATGTTTTGGGGCTGTCGCTGGGCAAAACGGACTTTCAACTCCCTCCAAATATTTTCTATGGGGTTGAGATCTGGAGACTGGCTAGGCCACTCCAGGACCTTGAAATGCTTCTTACGAAGCCACTCCTTCGTTGCCCGGGCGGTGTGTTTGGGATCATTGTCATGCTGAAAGACCCAGCCACGTTTCATCTTCAATGCCCTTGCTGATGGAAGGAGGTTTTCACTCAAAATCTCATGATACATGGCCCCATTCATTCTTTCCTTTACACGGATCAGTCGTCCTGGTCCCTTTGCAGAAAAACAGCCCCAAAGCAATGATGTTTCCACCCCCATGCTTCACAGTAGGTATGGTGTTCTTTGGATGCAACTCAGCATTCTTTGTCCTCCAAACACGACGAGTTGAGTTTTTACCAAAAAGTTATATTTTGGTTTCATCTGACCATATGACATTCTCCCAATCCTCTTCTGGATCATCCAAATGCACTCTAGCAAACTTCAGACGGGCCTGGACATGTACTGGCTTAAGCAGGGGGACACGTCTGGCACTGCAGGATTTGAGTCCCTGTTGGCGTAGTGTGTTACTGATGGTAGGCTTTGTTACTTTGGTCCCAGCTCTCTGCAGGTCATACACTAGGTCCCCTCGTGTGGTTCTGGGATTTTTGCTCACCGTTCTTGTGATCATTTTGACCCCACGGGGTGAAATCTTGCGTGGAGCCCCAGATCGAGGGAGATTATCAGTGGTCTTGTATGTCTTCCATTTACCTAATAATTGCTCCCACAGTTGATTTCTTCAAACCAAGCTGCTTACCTATTGCAGATTCAGTCTTCCCAGCCTGTTGCAGGTCTACAATTTTGTTTCTGGTGTCCTTTGACAGCTCTTTGGTCTTGGCCATAGTGGAGTTTGGAGTGTGACTGTTTGAGGTTGTGGACAGGTGTCTTTTATACTGATAACAAGTTCAAACAGGTGCCATTAATACAGGTAACGAGTGGAGGACAGAGGAGCCTCTTAAAGAAGAAGTTACAGGTCTGTGAGAGCCAGAAATCTTGCTTGTTTGTAGGTGACCAAATACTTATTTTCCACCATAATTTGCAAATAAATTCATAAAAAAATCCTACAATGTGATTTTCTGGAGAAAAAAAATCTAAATTTGTCTGTCATAGTTGACGTGTACCTATGATGAAAATTACAGGCCTCTCTCATCTTTTTAAGTGGGAGAACTTGCACAATTGGTGGCTGACTAAATACTTTTTTCCCCCACTGTATGTTCCAAGACAGACCAGAGATATGACCATTCTAGTCTATCAAAAGCTTTTTCTGCATCGAGAGATAATACAGCCCAAGGAGCTGTTGTTTCTGATGAAGCATCTAAGATATGTAATAGTCGACAGAGGACATCCGAGGAAAAACGCTTTTTAACAAACCCGCTTTGGTCCATGTGGATCAATTTGGTTAAGTAAGTCTTGAGACAACATTTTGGAAAAAACATTGAATATCGATGTTTATCAAAGATAGTGAGAACACTTGGTGGCATCCTTACCTTTTTTGAATAAAAGCGTAATTAGAATGAAATGCAATTTCATAAACATGTTCCATTAAAGGCTTTGTGGGAAAGAGAGGAAACAAAGCAATTACACAATGAAATGAGAGAACATACCACTTCCTTTAATACCGTAGGGTAACGCTAATGTGGACTGATGCTGTCGCCAGAAGAAATCATCCAGTTTGAAGAAGAGCTGTGTTTGTCTGCTAATACTGTATTATAAACAGGGGAGAAAATAATTCACATTACAACCCAGAAATACGCAAGGATATACTGTACAGTTCCTACTAAATATTCCATACTGCCAATGGCATGGGGATATAAAGTATACGACCTTAGCCGTAATTCCTTCTCATAGTTCAGTGTAATCAATCCCCATGTCTATTAGGCAGAGAAATCATATTCATTATACGCAAAGCCGATTTCAATAAATGTTTCCCCTCTCAAAAAGTAATGTGTTTACATGATGTCATTCAGCAAGCATGCCCCTGCATAAAATCAACTGTTGGCATTTTTCCTGCCAAGAAGAAGAAGAAGAAAATAATAAGTTCCAGTGCATTGGGAAAGTATTCAGAATCCTGCACTTTTCCCACATTTTGTTACGCTACAGCCTCATTCTAAAATGGATTAATTGTTTTTTTTCCCTCATCAATCTACACACAATACCACATAATGACAAAGCAAAAAACAGGTTTTTAGAATTCATTAGCAAATGTATTAAAAATAGAAAAACTGAAATATCAGTACTTTGTTGAAGCACCTTTGGCAGCAAATACAGCCTCGAGTCTTCTTGGGTATGACGCTACAAGCATGGCACGCCTGTATTTGGGGAGTTTCTCCCATTCTTCCCTGCAGATCCTCTCAAGCTCTGTTAGGCTGGATGGGGAGCGTCGCTGCACAGGCTATTTCAGGTCTCTCCAGAGATGTTTGATCAGGTTCAAATCCGGGCTCTGGCTGGGCCACTCAAGGACATTCAGAGACTTGTCCCAAAGCCACTCCTGCGTTGTCTTGGCTGTGTGCTTAGGGTCGTTGTCCTGTTGGAAGTTGAACCCTCACCCCACTCTGCAGTCCTGAGCCCTCTGGAGCAGGTTTTCATCAAGGATCTCTCTGTACTATGCTCGGTTCATCTTTCCCTCTCCCAGTCCCTGCCGCTGAAAAACATCCCCACAGCATGATGCTGCCAACACCATGCTTCACCGTAGGGATGGTATTGGCCAGGTGATGAGCGGTGCCTGGTTTCCTTCAGACATGGCGCTTGGCATTCAGGCCAAAGAGTTCAGTCTTGGTTTCAGCAGACAAGACACTCTTGTTTCTCATGGTCTGAAACCACTTTAGGTGCCTTTTGGAAAACTCCAAACGGGCTGTCATGTGCCTTTTACTGAGGTGTGGCTTCCGTCTGGCCACTCTAACATAAAGGCCTGATTGGTGGAGTGCTGCAGAGATGGTTGTCCTTCTGGAAGGTTCTCCCATCTCAACAGAGGAACTCTGGAGCTCTGTCAGAGTGACCATCGGGTTCTTGGTCACCTCCCTGACCAAGGCCCTTCTCCCCCCGATTGCTCAGTTTGGCCGGGCGGCCAGCTCTAGGAAGAGTCTTGGTGGTTCCAAACTTCTTCCATTTAAGAATGATGCAGGCCACTGTGTTCTTGGGGACCTTCAATGCTGCAGAATTGTTTTTGTACCCTTCCCCAGATCTGTGCCTCGACACAGTCCTGTCTCGGAGCTCTGCAGACAATTCCTTCGACTTGGCTTGGTTTTTGCTCTAACATGTGGGACCTTATATAGACAGGTGTGTGCCTTTCCAAATCATGTCCAATCAATTGAATTTACCAAAGATGGACTCCTATCAAGTTGTAGAAACATCTCAAGGATGATCAATGGAAGCAGGGTGCACCTGAGCTCAATTTCGAGTCTCATAGCAAAGGGTCTGAATACTTATGTAAATCATTTCTAAAAACCTGTTTTCGCTTTGTCATTATGGGGTATTGTGTGTAGATGTAATCCATTTTTAGAATAAGGCTGTAACGTAACAAAATGTGGAAAAAGTGAAGGGGTCTGAATACTTTCCGAATGCACTATACATTACTGAGACTCCATGTGAAAAATGACATTCTCATCATATGAATCACAATCAGTTGGTAAACAGTGAGAAAATGTAGCGTTGTTGATCTCTATATTTTACAGGTCCTGTCTGAACTGAGCTGAGGAGGCCAACTGAACTGCATCGTCTAGTGGTTAGAGAAACAAATGGCTGACCCCAAGGTTGCTGGGCCAGGAGAACACAGATGGAGCATATCACTTTTGCACCCTTGAGCAGGGCACACAAACAGAACAGTTCCAGTACATACCCAGTTGAATAAATTGATAATAGCATAGAGTAAAAATAAATAGAAGAAGTGTCCTGGACAAAGGTACTCAGCAAGCCAGAGAAATAGATTTGTCCATTGTCCTCCTGAAAAAGTTGAATTGTTTGAATCGAAAGCTCCTTTAAAAACAGACTTGCTCTTAGGGGTCTGTTTTCAATGACGATCCATCAGCAGTTTCAACTTAAACGATTGTTCCAGAAAATGTACTTTACTGAGTCTTTGGGTAGAAAATTATTTCCTTTCATGATAAAATTGTTCCTACTTACAAAAAAATGCTGAATTTTACTGGTGACTGGGTGAAAACAGCCCCCAATTTCCAAAGAAGCTGGCACCTCACATTCCAGTAAAAGCATTGGAAGAAATTAGTTAGACTGAAACCCATCATCCCCACCCTCCTCGTTTTAAAGACAGACACTCCATTACTCACTTAAAATGGAGGCTCTCCCACTTCTGCTTTAGCCAGCCGCCGCACAGTGACTTGCTCGGACTTGTAGGAGACTTGCTGGTGCCTCCATAGCTGAAAGACAAGCACACAAATCACCACAGTTGGAACAGAAACTGCTGACTTTTTAAACACTCAAATGCCCAGTGACTGTGTGGGTATCTATTAAAGGCCTAAATTGACTGCCATTTACCCACTTAAAGCTGTGGGTAGAACAGATGCTAGGCTAGGTGAATGGAGTGGGTTGTCAACATGTTGTGACTCAGCAGCAGGCCTTATTTCAAGGTTTCTCTTTTAGTAAAGCATAGATGAGCATCTGTGTGATTGCTCTGCCTGCCACTCCACAGAGAGGGAGCTTCCAGGCAGTAGACCAGGGCTGAGGGCTGAGGGCCGAGCAGGAGAAGCCTTACCTCTGGAGGATAACGTGGGAGCAGTAGTAGGAGACTATGAACAGAACAACAGCGAACAGTCTAAAGCACCATGCTGGAGAGGGAGAGAGAACAACCACATGCAATAAATTAGAAACCATCATATTGCTTTTCTTGTATAGCCTGTGGTTAAATCCTATTTTAATTATGGCATGAGATTGCATGAGATCCAATCTGCAGGCAGGCAGGCAGATTTTCACTTCCTACAGTATCACTAACATAACATCCACTGGAGTGGAACGGAGGAGTGCTATTAATTGAGCAGTAAACAAACAAACAAAAAAGCAGCCCCTAGAACTATCAGTTCCCATATCAAACAACTCTGCCGAAAAAAAGTCCCCTCTACCTCTACACCAGCAACATGTCAATGACCATAACCATTCTCTAGTCTGGTAGATAAACACTCCCCAGCCCAGACAGTGGTCTACATGTATAGGGGCTTGGGAGGGAGGGAGGGAGGGGGGAGGGAGGGCAATCCTCCAGCTCAAACACATACTTCCCACACGTTTGTTCCAGGAATACAAAAGGCTACTTATACGTAAAGGCAAACATTTAGTGCCAAACTAAACACGGTCTCCATCGAGCTGAATCTGCTTTCTGGGACTGCCATTAACTGAGCCAGAGAAACCTTGGACTGGCTTTTCATTTTCAATACAGCAGCTATGATCAAACTGAAATGAGCTGGGCAGAAAAAGGTGTAAATGACTAAAGCAAGCACCCGGCTCTGAAGGCAAGGCCAGTGTATTCTGTCAAAGCTAAAATGAAGAGAAAATTAGAAGGCCAGATCAAGGCAGCGCCAAGCAGTGTGTTTCTGTATGATCATCATAACACATCCAGGAACATCTGGATTATACATGACAGGCTTGGAATGTGTCTTATAGTACAGTGGCTTACGAAAGTATTCACCCCCCTTGGCATTTTTCCTATTTTGTTGCCTTACAACCTGGAATTAAAATGGATTTTTGGGGGGCTTGTATCATTTGATTTACACAACATGCCTACCACTTTGAAGATGAAAAATATGTTTTATTGTGACACAAAAAAACAGAAAACTTGAGAGTGCATAACTATTCACCCCCCCAAAGTCAATACTTTGTAGAGCCACCTTTTGCAGCAATTACAGCTGCAGGTCTCTTGGGGTATGTCTCTATAAGCTTGGCACATCTAGCCACTGGGAATTTTTCCCATTCTTCAAGGCAAAACTGCTCCAGCTCCTTCAAGTTGGATGGGTTCCACTGGTGTACAGCAATCTTTAAGTCATATCACAGATTCTCAGTTGGATTGAGGTCTGGGCTTTGACAAGGCCATTCCAAGACATTTAAATGTTTCCCCTTAAACCACTCAAGTGTTGCTTTAGCAGTATGCTTAGGGTCATTGTCCTGCTGGAAGGTGAACCTCCGTCCCAGTCTCAATTCTCTGGAAGACTGAAACAGGTTTCCCTCAAGAATTTCCCTGTATATAGTGCCATTCATCATTCCTTCAATTCTGACCAGTTTCCCAGTCCCTGTCGATTAAAAACATCCCCACAGCATGATGCTGCAACCACCATGCTTCACTGTGGTGATGGTGTTCTCGGGGTGATGAGAGGTGTTGGGTTTGCGCCAGAAATACAGTGGGGAAAAAAAGTATTTAGTCAGCCACCAATTGTGCAAGTTCTCCCACTTAAAAAGATGAGAGAGGCCTGTAATTTTCATCATAGGTACACGTGAACTATGACAGACAAAATGAGAAAGAAAAAAAATCAAGAAAATCACATTGTCGGATTTTTTATGAATTTATTTGCAAATTATGGTGAAAAATAAGTATTTGGTCAATAACAAAAGTTTCTCAATACTTTGTTATATACCCTTTGTTGGCAATGACACAGGTCAAATGTTTTCTGTAAGTCTTCACAAGGTTTTCACACACTGCTGCTGGTATTTTGGCCCATTCCTCCATGCAGATCTCCTCTAGAGCAGTGATGTTTTGGGGCTGTCGCTGGGCAACACGGACTTTCAACTCCCTCCAAATATTTTCTATGGGGTTGAGATCTGGAGACTGGCTAGGCCACTCCAGGACCTTGAAATGCTTCTTACGAAGCCACTCCTTCGTTGCCCGGGCGGTGTGTTTGGGATCATTGTCATGCTGAAAGACCCAGCCACGTTTCATCTTCAATGCCCTTGCTGATGGAAGGAGGTTTTCACTCAAAATCTCACGATATACAGTGAGGGAAAAAAGTATTTGATCCCCTGCTGATTTTGTACGTTTGCCCACTGACAAAGACATGATCAGTCTATAATTTTAATGGTAGGTTTATTTGAACAGTGAGAGACAGAATAACAACAAAAAAATCCAGAAAAACGCATGTAAAGAATGTTATGAATTGATTTGCATTTTAATGAGGGAAATAAGTATTTGATCCCTCTGCAAAACATGATTTAGTACTTGGTGGCAAAACCCTTGTTGGCAATCACAGAGGTCAGACGTTTCTTGTAGTTGGCCAACAGGTTTGCACACATCTCAGGAGGGATTTTGTTCCACTCCTCTTTGCAGATCTTCTCCAAGTCATTAAGGTTTCGAGGCTGACATTTGGCAACTCGAACCTTCAGCTCCCTCCACAGATTTTCTATGGGATTAAGGTCTGGAGACTGGCTAGGCCACTCCAGGACCTTAATGTGCTTCTTCTTGAGCCACTCCTTTGTTGCCTTGGCCGTGTGTTTTGGGTCATTGTCATGCTGGAATACCCATCCACGACCCATTTTCAATGCCCTGGCTGAGGGAAGGAGGTTCTCACCCAAAATTTGACGGTACATGGCCCCATCCATTGTCCCTTTGATGCTGTGAAGTTGTCCTGTCCCCTTAGCAGAAAACCCCCCAAAAGCATATTGTTTCCACCTCCATGTTTGACGGTGGGGATGGTGTTCTTGGGGTCATAGGCAGCATTCCTCCTCCTCCAAACACGGCGAGTTGAGTTGATGCCAAAGAGCTCGATTTTGGTCTCATCTGACCACAACACTTTCACCCAGTTCTCCTCTGAATCATTCAGATGTTCATTGGCAAACTTCAGACGGGCCTGTATATGTGCTTTCTTGAGCAGGGGGACCTTGCTGATTTGTTTGACAATCAGATTAAAAATGTATGCACTCACTAACTGTAAGTCGCTCTGGATAAGAGCGTCTGCTAAATGACTAAAATGTAAATGTAAAACATAATGACTGGTTCATGGCACTTTAAAAGGTAATACATTTTTACAGTAAAATGTAATCTTTATTATAAATCCCATTATACCTTTTTTTTAGGCTTTAGACTGGCCTCTGCCTGTGGCCTCCAAATCACTAACTCCTGTGTGTAAGACTTACTGACTGCATAGGTTAGACTCTTACTGTGTGTGAGGCTGTGCTTGGCCACTTGCTGGCAGTGAGGATGTAGTGACAGGCAGAACTCTATTGATGTCAGCTCTAATAGGATGGCACTGCATTTAGAGAGGTTAACAAACATCATTAGCATCTGTCGCTAGCAGAATTATTCAGTCACTCTGAATAAAGAGCAGCTCACTGTCTTCTGGTGCTCCAGATGTTCAGGATTGGCTTTAGTACATGTACTGCACGGTACGGCTGGCTGCTAGTGCTGTTGTTGGAACTGCCCCAAGCTTCAGCTTCTATCTCTAAAGTGGCTGTGTTTGGGTGGCTGTGAACGGAGAGGCTACCTACCGAATCCATGTTTGACGGTGGGGATGGTGTTCTTGGGGTCATAGGCAGCATTCCTCCTCCTCCAAACACGGCGAGTTGAGTTGATGCCAAAGAGCTCGATTTTGGTCTCATCTGACCACAACACTTTCACCCAGTTCTCCTCTGAATCATTCAGATGTTCATTGGCAAACTTCAGACGGCCCTGTATATGTGCTTTCTTGAGCAGGGGGACCTTCCGGGCGCTGCAGGATTTCAGTCCTTCACGGCGTAGTGTGTTACCAATTGTTTTCTTGGTGACTATGGTCCCAGATGCCTTGAGGTCATTGACAAGATCCTCCCGTGTAGTTCTGGGCTGATTCATCACCGTTCTCATGATCATTGCAACTCCACAAGGTGAGATCTTGCATGGAGCCCCAGGCCGAGGGAGATTGACAGTTATTTTGTGTTTCTTCCATTTGCGAATAATCGCACCAACTGTTGTCATCTTCTCACCAAGCTGCTTGACGATGGTCTTGTAGCCCATTCCAGCCTTGTGTAGGTCTACAATCTTGTCCCTGACATCCTTGGAGAGCTCTTTGGTCTTGGCCATGGTGGAGAGTTGGGAATCTGATTGATTGATTGCTTCTGTGGACAGGTGTCTTTTATACAGGTAACACACTGAGATTAGGAGCACTCTCTTTAAGAGTGTGCTCCTAATCTCAGCTCATTACCTGTATAAAAGACACCTGGGAGCCAGAAATCTTTCTGATTGAGAGGGGGTCAAATACTTATTTCCCTCATTAAAACGCAAATCGATTTATAAAATTTTTGACATGCGTTTTTCTGGATTTTTGTTTTGTTATTCTGTCTCTCACTGTTCAAATAAACCTACCATTAAAATTAGAGACTGATCATGTCTTTGTCAGTGGGCAAACGTACAAAATCAGCAGGGGATCAAATACTTTCTTCCCTCACTGTATGGCCCCATTCATTCTTTCCTTTACACGGATCAGTCGTCCTGGTCCCTTTGCAGAAAAACAGCCCCAAAGCATGATGTTTCCACCCCCATGCTTCACAGTAGGTATGGTGTTCTTTGGATGCAACTGAGCATTCTTTGTCCTCCAAACACGACGAGTTGAGTTTTTACCAAAAAGTTATATTTTGGTTTCATCTGACCATATGACATTCTCCCAATCCTCTTCTGGATCATCCAAATGCACTCTAGCAAACTTCAGATGGGCCTGGACATGTACTGGCTTAAGCAGGGGGACACGTCTGGCACTGCAGGATTTGAGTCCCTGGCGGCGTAGTGTGTTACTGATGGTAGGCTTTGTTACTTTGGTCCCAGCTCTCTGCAGGTCATTCACTAGGTCCCCCCGTGTGGTTCTGGGATTTTTGCTCACCGTTCTTGTGATCATTTTGACCCCACGGGGTGAGATCTTGCGTGGAGCCCCAGATCGAGGGAGATTATCAGTGGTCTTGTATGTCTTCCATTTCCTAATAATTGCTCCCACAGTTGATTTCTTCAAACCAAGCTGCTTACCTATTGCAGATTCAGTCTTCCCAGCCTGGTGCAGGTCTACAATTTTGTTTCTGGTGTCCTTTGACAGCTCTTTGGTCTTGGCCATAGTGGAGTTTGGAGTGTGACTGTTTGAGGTTGTGGACAGGTGTCTTTTATACTGATAACAAGTTCAAACAGGTGCCATTAATACAGGTAACGAG